TGTGTAGGGCCCTATGAAATCCGTTTTATTTTTTCCCAAATTTCGTTTTATGTTTTTTTCCAAATTCATTTTTTCCGTTTTAATTATTCTGGACTCATTTTTAAAGGTTACATTAAATTGTATTCATAAAAAAGCATGTCTAATTAATTAAAATCATGATACTACAATTTCACATCAATTTATTAAAAGTAAAAAAAAAAACTACATGCTTAGGGCTCTATGAAATGTTTTACTTTCTCTCACCATATGTTTTATTGTTACCAAATTCTCTGTTTTAGCATGTCTAATCATTTGAATGCATACAAACAACTTAATTTATTCAAATTTATTCTTAAAATAATGTTTTTTTTCCTCAGAAATTCTCTGTTGTATATTTAATTTATCTTTTAATTAATGAAAATTAAACAAACTTAATTTTTTGGCAAACAAAGGGGATTTACTATTAACAATAAAACATGGAAGAAATGTTGTGTGATTATTCCTTAAAAATTCAAGTTTTAATAATTTTAGTAGTAGTAGCCTACTAATAGTATTAGTAGTATTATACAGCCGTATTTAACTGTAAATTTAAGTTAAAACCGTAAAACCTAAAACGTTGCTACCATATTTTTTACCGTAAATTTTACGGATTTTTTTTTACAGTGTAGCCTACACACAACCCAGCACACAGCATTGTTTTGGATTTTCAGTAAATTCTCAAAATATGCATAGTAGAATCTGCCTAATCAGGTTGTGATCCTTATGTCTTTTGACAGTGAACTAAGCCAAGGGAACCAGTACTAAATGTATCATTTTATTTTGTTCATCTGGAGTCCAAAAGACAAGGTTTCTGCAGATCTTAAAAAGTCTTAAATTCATAAAACCATGGCATTAAATGTTGCATGCACTGGAAAAAAGATGAGAATGAGTATGTTTTCCAATACAGATCTAAACATCCTTAAATCAAAATACATATATTAGATATTTTCTAAGAAATGTAAAACAATCAAATGAGTTTATTCTTAAAACAAGAACAAATATCTGACATGTATTAAAACACATTTTCTCTTTCAACTAAGTTTGAAAGACATTTTTCAGTTTATTCTTATTTTAGTCACAAACTCACTTCGAAGTCTTCTCAGAAAACAAGACTTCTTATGTCATTTTGCTTCTAAAGTAAATGTATCTTGATTTAAGGAAATTTAGACGTTTGCATTTACTTTCATAAAACCTGCCGAGACCCTGAAAATTACCAAGATAACTCAAATTTAAGTGTAAACATGACATATTTTAACTATGAAAATACCGAGTATTTTCACACACTGCCAGCAGCATATTGTACTTCTAAAGTGATTTATTTCAAGGTTAATTTATGAAACTAACTAGGGTGTTGTCCAAGCAAAATAAACTTGGTCTACAAACTTTCTTGGGTTAACCTTATCATAGCACATCTTAGCAGTAGGTTTTTAATTTAGCATGCTGCTCTCTTGTCTGGTGTCATGAAAACAACACAGTAGCTATGATGCAAGACTTCTGCTTGCGTTGCAGTGTTAATTACAGCAGTGAAGGTTGCTTGCCCTTTCACATCTGAAGTCCGAGTTTAGTTGTGACCTCTGGGCTACAGTCTTCTCCGCAAGTGCGTGTTTTATGTGTTAGCATGGATCATAATTAGGCAAATAAACACAAAAACACCATAAATAAGGAAAACTGTGAATGTATTCATGTTCAACATTTTACAACACTGTTTTCACCTGGTTCTGTGATAGTACTCAAGACATCTTACACGCAAAATGAAGACTAATTATTCATGTTGATTTAAATTCTCTGTAGATTTCATTTCAACATACAGTTTGGTTTCGGGAGAAAGCAGAAAATGTTGGTCTTTTTTATGATGCAAGACTTCTGCTTGCGTTGCAGTGTTAATTACAGCAGTGAAGGTTGCTTGCCCTTTCACATCTGAAGTCCGAGTTTAGTTGTGACCTCTGGGCTACAGTCTTCTCCGCAAGTGCGTGTTTTATGTGTTAGCATGGATCATAATTAGGCAAATAAACACAAAAACACCATAAATAAGGAAAACTGTGAATGTATTAATGTTCAACATTTTACAACACTGTTTTCACCTAGTTCTGTGATAGTACTCAAGACATCTTACACGCAAAATGAAGACTAATTATTCATGTTGATTTAAATTCTCTGTAGATTCATTTCAACATACAGTTTGGTTTCGGGAGAAAGCAGAAAATGTTGGTCTTTTTTAACAGTGTCGTAGCTGTAACATCGCTAACCATAAATAAACATTTTATTTTCCCCAAACTAACACAAGGTGGAACAGACTAGTTAATAGCCTGTTTGTAAAACATCAATAATACTTGAAGAGCTACTAAAGCATTTAAATAGCCCCCTAAATTGTATTAAAGCCGTATCGGACTGATTTAAATAGGTCAACTTTTTTTAAATTACAGTACGTGTCTGTTCACAATCTCTTAAAACAGTAAAACCCACGATGTATCACATGGAATAAAGGTGCGGTCACATTTATAGTTGCTTTATGAATTTTTGCAGGTGAAATGTAAATCAATTTCAATTAGATTTCCACACGATCTGGAATTTCATGTGATTGCAAAAGATTTCCCCACACAAATTTCGTAACAAGTTCAGCTGGTCACACGAGTTCAGCCAACATAAAGTTGCTTGGTTTGACCTCTTTTGGCTTGATAAATATTGCTGCTGTTTTGCTAATTTACTGATGTTTAGCAAATTTTTGCAGGCAAATCCAGTCAATTCAATAGGCATCCATGTATATCGAGTGACGACGAAAGATTTCTCTATGCAGATTTCGCCAAAGGTTCAGATGGTCATATGAATTCAACCAACATAAAGCTGCTTGGGTTGAAAGTGACTTCTGTGTGAGCTGTACTTTATGCACACTACACTATTGACAGCAAACAATTGTAGTTTTTTGCCTACGTAATTTTTACAATTGTTTTGCTAACTTACCATTGGTCAGTGAATTTCCGCAGATGAATTTCAATAAGCATCACTGTAATTGGGAATTTTGCATGATGGTGAAAGGTTTCTCAATGCAGATTTCAGAACTGATTCAAGTCTGATAATTCACTGCGCTGACCAACAGAAAGCCTGGAAAACTTGCTTGTTTTGAATGTAACTTCTGTGTGAGCTGTACCTCATGCATACACTACTGACTGTAGACTATTTAGTGTTGTTGTTTTTTTTTGCTTACGTAATTTGATTACAAAATTTTCACTAATTTACTGTTGTTTAGTGAATTTTTCGCAAGTGAAATTCAGGCGAATTTCAATAGGCATCCATCCAATCTGGAATTTTGCATGATGGTGAAAGCGATTTCTAAACCGATTTTCAAATCTGTCATGCGAATTCACTGCGTTGACCAGTGCAGTGACCAACAGAAAGCCAGAAAACTTGCTTGTTTTGAACATGACTTCTGTGTAAGCTGTAGTGAAATGAAGTGACTGGGTTACGAATCCGACTCTCTAACCATTAGGCCACGACTTCCCCAATGCACCGCTACACTGACAGTAAACAATTGACATTTTTTGCCTATGTATTTTCACAAAATTTTTGCTAATTTACTGTTGTTCAGTGAATTTTCGCAGGCGAATTTCAATAGGCATCCATGCAATCTGCATTTTGCATGATTTCAAAGCAGATTTCAAAACCGCTTCAAGTTGATCACACGAATTTACAGTTGCTTGTTTTGATTTCTGTGTGAGCTGTACTTCATACATCTCAAAACAATTGATAAAAGACCTTTATGACCTTCAAAATCTTGCTAATGTGACCGCACCTTACGACTGTGATTCCAGCTGTTTTTCACTAGTGTAACAGTTCAGATACTAAAAGTGACAAATATGGGTCAATATCAAGGCACTGCATGACTTGCATTATTATGATGTTGTTTCTTTTTCTCCTGTTTGTGGCAATTATTCCAAACTCTCGTAGGCTGGCAGTGATAGGTGATGGCTGCCTCCCTTGGGAGTCAAAACTCAAGATCAAGTTGTCAGGACTTGGCAAATAGACTCTACTGTTGTACGTGGTATGTGTGTGTGTGCATGCGTTTGTGGTTCTGTATCTAAAAGAATGAACTGGGAACACAGAGACGCAGTGGGATACACTTGGACAGGAGTCGCTGATGTCCCTCTACAATAAATACAGACTCCTGAGCTGGTAGGTGAGCTTTGGTGAATCAAGTCTTTGTTTTTGTGATACCGGATCTTTAAATGTGAATGTAATACTCCATTTAATTTAAAACATCATTTAAATGTACTGCAGTTAATTTATATTCTCTCATCATTTCGTGTCGGTCGATCCCATCAAATATTTAACGCAACACTATTCCAGAATGGCTTGATGGCATTTGGCATTTTTCCCATTATGTTTGAAAAGACAAATCGTGGGACAAACTGAAATGAAAGTCAAGTTTCTGCACATCCAGACAAGATAAACTGCAACTGAAAAATATCTCTGACGGCAAAAAGGCATTTTCGTCGATGGTGAGTGAACCACCACCTGCAGGTTTGGTTCACCGGGTCTTTTCGTCTTCTCCCTTTTTCAATCCAGGCAGACATGGAAAGCCTCTGGTGGATATCTGTCTGTGCATCTGAGTGAATATATAACATCTCCAGGAAACACGAGAAGAAGAAAAAAAGGAAGTAACAAAATAAAGTTTTTCCTCTCATTGGGAATAGCAGGTCTGGGTCATTTGAAGTTTCCCTGCCGAACGGTTTCCGTTTTGAGTGGTGGGTTTTGTCTCAGTTCATGAACTGCGTGTAGCCCTCGGCTCCTGTTACTATCACATCCATCCATATCCTCATGGCCTCTGCGGACGGGGCCACCATGTAATACAGTCTGTCGTGCGTCTTCACGCAGAAGGTCAGGGAGGGGTTGGGGCTCTGCGATCAAAAAGACAATCAGATCAGTGAGGGAGCCACATATGGAGTCTATCTACTACTTAGGGCTGTGCAAAAAATCGAATGCAATTTTCATGCGTATCTCGGCAGTAAAGCCGCTTCTGTGATTAGTAGTAAATCTCCAGCACGTGCGTTCAGAGGGAGCGGCATTTACTACACAGAGCCGTAGTTCACTGACAAGCTACGCAAAATCGCGTTCAAAATCGCAGGCGATTCATTGCCGATTATGAACGTGATTTTGTGTAGCTTGTCAGTGAACTACGGCTCTGTGTAGTGACTGCCGCTCCATCTGAAAGCACGTGCTGGAGATTTACTACTAATCACAGAAGCGGCTTTACTGACGAGATGATTTTTTGCACATCCCTACTACTACTCAGTTATTAAGGCATATGCATTCGCTGCTATGCATCCATTAGGGGTTGTCAATTTTCAGGAATTTTTACAAAATAATTATTATTAAAATTAAATGAATTAATCACATGTGAAGGACGACAAATACCACATGCAGTATTTTAACAACAATTAAAGCCACTATACAAATAGATTTAATAACAAAATTTAACTAAATAAACATAAGAAATGTACTGCTATTTTTGTTTAGAATGAATCCCACTGGTATTTATTTAATATAATTTCACAATTTTCCAAGTATTATTAATAATGTTTATGGATAATGCAACTAAAATAATTTTGCCTGTACAATTTATTGTGTGAATTATATAATTTGCAAGACATTATAATAAAATGTAAAATATAGTCTTACTTATAATTGTATAATATATTAGTTTTATGTATATTTATACTTTATAATACATATTTATAATAACTACAGTCAAACTACAATTAAAGTGATTATGCTAAATATAATAATAATAATAATAATAAATAATTAAACATACTCAGCTATTGATCTTAATAAATATAATATCTAAATGTAATAATATGCTAATAATAAATAAACATAAGAAATGTGCTATTTTGTTTTTTTTTTATTTCATTTTAATGAAAGTATTTTAATGCATTTATATTAAGTACGAATCCAAATGGTATCATTGAATATAATTTACTATTATGTGGTTTATTATGTGGTTCATGTAATATTACAGACTTTATAAAATATAAACACACAAATGTTTCATATAATATTTTTAGATTTGATTTTAAATGTAAGTTTAAGTTTTTTGTAATGTAGATATTTCTAAATATGTATTAAATTCAATGGCTTTATGCTCTCGGCATTCAATAATTCACCTCACAAACACATTGTGGTCAGCATGCTTATCCTTGTTGGACGTGAACCTGCATTTAATGTAGCCTGGGGCGTATTTACTTTTACTCATGGTTTTAAAGGATGAGGTCTCATCACTTTCATGTTGGCACATACTACTTTGCCTGTTTCCATCAAGTGACAGATACATTTGCACGAAAATGCTGCAGTGTTTGATTGGACACACTGACTTTGATGTAAAAAAAAAAGATGGGCAGTGTTTTCTTCTCTTTTTTAAAATGTTGATAAGCCTATTTAATTTATTTAACAGCTTGTTATCACAATACACTTTAACACACTATCATTATAATTGTGCATGATTACTTTGAACCTGTTTTATAAGCTTCTACGTCACATGCAGCACAAGCAACAGCGTGCACTCATTTCCCAGATGAGCTTCTTTAGCTCTCTTGAGCTAAAGTGGATTAATAAACACTCATACCACTTAATTAATAATAAATGATTAATTATTAGCACATCTGATTTTAATACAGCTGCATATGTAAAGCAGGAGGTGCTTGTTAAAATGTGCTAATTACTTCTCCTAACCTAAACACTCATTATTAAAGAGCACTCCACTCATGCAATGGATATACAAATCTCTTCAAATGATTCTGACACTGTCGAAGAGTGAATTATATTACGGCTTCCCGTTAACCTATTACATTATACAATGTGAAGCTGACGGCGTACAATACACCACACAACTGCTTCTGTGGGGCTATTACGTTATACACACACTTAGTATCTCACCACAGGGGGTAATAGTAAAGAAACACTTGAGAGAAACGCACACAGATCGTAAATTACATTATACTCTCATCCTCAGTAACTGCAAAAAAAACAAAAACAAATATCCACTAAGTGAAGGTGCCAATAGTCCAGTTATTCAAAACAATACAAGACGAGGTATGTTAATTAGTCACAAGGAAGTAAGTGTGTGAAAAATGCACAAATTAGAGCAATTTCCTCTAAGCAAACATGCAGGATAGGGTGATAGTGGTGGAGAGCGATACGTACGTTTGTCAAATTCAGATTGAAAAGTCCTTTCTGTGAAAACAGTCGCCAAAGCAAAAGAATGAAGAAAAAGAAGGGTGGGGAACATTGACAGCAGAGTTACAGCATAAGAGACAAAAGAGAAGAAAGAAGCTAAAGATCAAATGAAATGGTGCAACAGGAGCGCAGAGCAGAAAAACAGCAGGAGATGTGAGCTGTGCTTATACCAAGGGCTCTTATTCGATCGTACCTTTGTGGCACTGCGCAGGTGATCATAGTAAACCTCCTCGATAGCCTGGAAGTAGATGACGCCCTTCAATTTGCTCTCATGTTTATCTGCGGACAGAAGAAACAGATGTCACACTGCGAAAAACCGTTCTCTTAATAGTATTTTATTTTATTGCGATGTTTTTGTTTGAAAACCAATTAACTCGAGAAGCGAAAGCGAGTGTGTTCTCCGTAAACAAGCATTTCCAAGTATTTTTTACTGGAAAACTAGTGATTAGCACAATGTTTTGCACAGCGATGGTTTCGAAAACAAATAATCCCCCACTCCCCTGGAGAATAATGATCTGGTAAGCACCGATGTGACCTTGTTACTGTGGTGCAACCCCTTCATTTTCAGTCCGCGCAGAAATAAAGAGCGAGAGCTCCCGCTTTGCTGAGCGCCACGGCTGGGTGATGAGCACGATTTCCTCAGCATTGCGGCAGATTTCATCACCATCAGATAGCATGCGGACGGGCTTCTGGTTATTTGTATGCCCCTAGCTAACCCGAGGCTATCGGAAATCATGGCAGCCACTGTGAGCTTAAGAATTACTAATTATCCGTATCCCCCCACTGCTGGATTCACCCACAATCCACTCTTTGTTCTGCCTTCGTTTCTTTCCCCAACCTCAGGGGGACGAAAGCGTAACGACACGTTCGCCGGGCGGCATTAGCATAGTGCACAGTAAGGAGGATGTTGGAAGGCGACGCTGCGGTGCACATACCGGCGTAGTAGGAAAACGTCCTTTTAAGGCGATCAAAGACGAACCAGCGCTTCCTCCAGGATTTGATCTTCCCTCCCATCTTGACAAGATAGCCCTTGCACATCTTTTCGGTGAGAATCACGTGGTAGCATGTGTCCACGCTGTGACCTGAGGACTCGATGTGGGAACGGAGGTCAAACTCCTCTTTGCGAATGGGCAGGTATCGGGTCATCGGGCGGGCCTGGAAATCAACAACGTGTGGTTTATATTTTTGTTATGACATGACATGTTTTATTTCCCTATCAATTAATTTATCCAAAATTCCTTCAAAAAAGGACATACTTTACTGTATATTAATGTCTGAAAAACGTTTGGCAGCCAGATCAATCAAGTGGACCTTTTTATGACAGTTTAGGTTGTAAAATGTCACTTTCTGTAAGTAAATTCTAATGAAATTATTATATATGGTCATACGTTTACATACATCTTGCAGAATCTACAAAATGTTTTCATTTCAATTCAACAAATATTACTAATTTTAACAAATATATTTATATTTTCTTGTGGACTACATGTAAACTTCTGTTACGTTTATGCTATAGCTTATGTAACAGCTTATTCCAGGCAGTACTAATTAACAAGCAATGTTTATGATCCCTCTTACTTTGTTAAAATTATACAATTATTATAAATTTGGTGGTTCCACAAAGCATATGTAAACTTGTCATCGCAAGTGTATTATATATATCTGCAACTCCTCGCCTGAGAGAAGTTTTTGGCCCTCATCTTCCCCTCCTTCTCTATCAACTGCTGTCTGTGTACCGTCTCCTCCTGCAGTCTCTTCTCCGCCTCCTCTCTTCTTCTTCTCTCCTCCTCTAGCATGAGTTTACGGGCCTGAGTCTCTCGTTCCTGCAGCCAAGAGAGCAGAGGTCATTAGACAAGATTGGCAGTCAAAAAAGATGAATATGGTTCCTTAATACTGATTCTACAACTTACTCTGGACTCTATGAGTCGAGTTTTCTCTAGCTGTGCCTCTTTCAGCATCTTCTCCATCTCCTCGATCTTCAGCGCATCCATACCGCTGGCACTGTGAAACACATAAAACTTCAGTCAGAGTCATTAACTATATTGAGGGGGGAATTCACTATACGTGTTTAAACCAAGACAGACAGCAAACATTTAAATACTCGAGCGAAAGTTGTGCAACCGTTCAGTGATTTTACCCCTCGGTGATCTATTTGGTGAATGATGGAATGGAGACCAGTAGCGGCGAGATTACGAAACATTTCGTCATATATGAAAATACAACTGGATTGCACATACAGTACAAGCATGAAAATCTGCCGTGAAACATAAAATGAAGCACATGTGGACTATAAACAGAGAAAAAGAAAATGTGTAATGGATTCCTCTAGAGAAGAGTCTCAGACTAGCTTGAAGCTCTATGAAGACAAGAATAATCAAACTGTATGAGAACATTTCAAGTAAACAAATTCTCTCCTGAGAGAGAAACAGCTGAAGGCCGTCGTGCCCCGGTCCAGCTCCACTGCTCCACTGCTTCACTGTACTTTACAGGCTTTTGTTTACAAAATCTTCACACATTTCCCATGATAACGCTTGTAACTGAAAACAACATGTCAGTGTCAAACTGGGTTTGGGGGCCATTCAGAAATGAAATAAGAATGTCTTTGAAATTCAATTCCTGAATCCAAATTTGAAAATGAGAATATTTGAAATGCAGTGACATTCAAAGAAATTCATATTATGGCTGTAAGTGTAGTTTATTAATAATACACTACTGTTCAAAGGTTTGGGGTTATTGATATATTTGCATTCCTTTTTTTTTTTTAAAGAAATGAATGCTTTCATTCACAAAGATGCATTAAATTGATTAAAAGTCACATTTATAATGTTACTATTTTACTAATTACTTCTATTTCAAATAAACGCTTTTTATTTGACTTTCTATTCCTCAAAGAATCCTTAAAAATATATCATGGTTTTCACAACAGTTTTTAACATTGATAAAAAAAAATTCTTGAGCAGCAAATCAGCATATTAGAATGATTTCTGAAGGATCATGTGACACTGAATACTGGTGTAATGATGCTGAAAATTCAGCTTTACCATCACAGGAATAAAATGTATCTTTTATTT